GATCTCGTCGTTCAAGAAAAGATGAAAACCACGATAGTGCCGAACCTGAAAGAAGCGTACTAATGAAACTAACTTGCGATCCTGAAGTTGGATAGCTTTGGGGTTGAAGTTCAATCATAAGTTGCACTTGATTGATAAATCCTCGAAACTTGGATCTTGTGCCATCAAACTTCTTGGATAGGACAATTATTGGTTCTCTAACATTTGAAGGGCGTTCCACCATAGGGGAAAGGACATGGTTTGGTGCAGATGTTGAAGCAGCTCCAACCATTTCTATATCTTCACTTCCTGCCAATCTTGTTGCTCCTTGTGGTGGTAAATTGAGTTGATGCATCACAAGCATTAATTCCTTCAATTGCTCTTGCATTTGTGCCATTGCACTCTTCATTTCAACAAGTTCTGCCATGATAACACTTAAAAGAGAGAAGATGTCTAATATCGCTCAAGACAAATAGAAGAGAGGACTTGAGAACAAAGAAAATACTAAGGACAATATCAGTTTAGAAGAGGGTAATCCGCAACTTCTAATATGCTTATATCTTATCAAGAAAAAGGGATAATCCACTCTTAATCAAGATTAGATAAAGCTCTGATATTATAGGTGTACTCTTGTCAATCTGACAAGGAGAAGAACTCGATGAAAAAATAATTCAGTCAAGTGAGCCTTCACTCAAAGAAAGGTAACAAAATATAAATAAACAAGTATGTATATTGAAAGAGAAACTGGAATGGCTATTGCCAAAAGACAAAGAAACTAGAGACCCTTGAAACTAGATTGGAAGCAAGAAAGGAGTTGACAAGAGTGAAGAAGCCTTCACTCTTGTCTCTATATATACTATCTAACTAGGGGCTACGTGGCGACGTTCTATAGCACCTCTAATATGTGTTGACTTTGTAGAACACATGCCTTGACTTACAAGGCAAGTTTTTGTACATGTGGGCCACATAGTTAGCTTGATCTTCAAGCTAACAACATGTGTGGCACATGGCCAACTTGTTGACCACGTTTCTAATCCAAAAAGTCAATTAAAGACACCTATGAAGTCAAAGCAGCATCTATGAAGTTTTTAGGAAGCTTCCATATTAAATATTATAGAATTAACTTATTTTTATCTACTTTTACTTACTTCTACCTATTTGTATATGTAATTACTAGCTTACATGATTATGTCCGTGACAGATCCATGGCTTTAATGATCCATAGATTAAAATTTAAAGTGAAAGCTAATGGCTGTAAAAAGAGTCATAGAAATATATTTTAAAAAAAATAACTTCACCATTGTATTGAAATACATTTTTCATTAAATATTGATTACTAAATTTCAATGCTTAAGGTAAATTACTTCTATCTTATTTCTAGATTATTTCTTAAATACTTTAAACTTATTTCTAGCTTATTGTAATATCATTATTGCCATTATTAGATTAAATAAATGCCACATTTAAAAAAAGATGATAAAACAAAAAAACTTTAATAACTCAATTATCCAATAAACTATTGGTAATGCCTAAATACTTGATTATTGTAATTTTTTATTTCTTTCTATATTTTTGGCTTTAAAACTAATGTATTATATTTTAAATGATTTAAAATCTAAACTTGTAAATAAATTATTTTAAAAAGAATATATATATATATATATATATATATATAAGATCTTAATGTAATACTCAAAGAAAAAACCTTTATAATGATTTTTAATTTTTTTAAATACTAATTTATGCATAATTTAGATTAAGACATTAAATTCTTGTATATTTATTCTACTTATAAATTAAGATTATTTTAATAAATCGACTTTCTATTCATATATAGGTGTCACTTACTTCCTTGTGATTTAATGTTTATCAATCATGTAAAATCATTATAAAAAATACTAGTACTTAACTTTGTATTTATTATATACTTAATTATATAAAAAAAAAATGACTAGATATTATCTATATTGATTGCAGTAATTTTCATTAAATACTAATAAAAAAATTGACTTAAAATACTAATAAAAGAATAATTTTAATTCTTTTGCACCTCTTATTTTTTATTATGAATTTTTATCAAAAAATTATAAATAAATATATTATATAAATATTTTATTTCTATATTTTATATTCTTATATATAAACTTAATTCAAAGATATATTTAAACTATTAATTAATCATTTTAAATATTATATTGAATAAAAATACCAAATATATTTAATATAATAATTTTTTATTTTTTCATCGTAACACTTTTTATAAAGATTTATCTTATAACTATATTATTTCTTGAAAATAAAATTTAAAATGATAGTAAATGTTTATTTTAAATTTAATAAATTATAGATATTCACCACTACAAAAAAATATAATTTAGTTTAATATAAAAAATAATCTATTGGATATTTATTTATTATTAAATGATAAACTTTTAGAATTTAAAAATACCATTATAAAAAAAAATTGACTTAAAAATTATTAGTTTTTAATTTTCTAAATATAATTTTTTAAAATTCTACATTTTTGTTCTTAATTTTTTCTTATATGAGTAGAAATTTAATAAAATAAAATAAAAAAAATAATTATTAAAAAAATAATTAAAAATATTATTTATAAGATAAATATTTAACATTATTCATATATATATATATATATATATATATATATATATATATATATATATAAATACTTATGTACTAATTTATGAATAATTTTTAAGATAAAATTTGACTACCTCATAGTAAAAAATAAATTAAAACAAAATAATTACTCTTATAACATATTTAATATACAAGATCTTTGATAGAAGCAAATAGTTTTAAATTGCTCAAATGTTTTATTAAATATTTTTTTAAAGAAGACATATTAGATATTTTAGATGTTTTCTAAAACAATGATACACAAAATAAAAAGATGTTTTGATAAATAGATACTATAGTGATAAATAGATTAAATCCAAAGATTTATAAATTAATATAACTTTCAAAAAATAAGAATAAAAATATGTCTTTTAAGTTGATGTAATCTCTAAAAACTATATAAATGTTATTTTTTGAGGTAATTTGAAAATATGAATAAAAATAGGCTTAATAAGTCATATGTTATATATATATATATATAGAAAGAGAGAGAGAGAGAGAAAGAGAGAGAGAGAGAGAGAGAGATTTCCAAAATATTCCTATGATAACGTTATAGAATTTGATATAAAAATATAGCTGCAAAGGTTAGATTTGGATAGGATCCATTGGCTTAGGTCTTTACAAGAAGTTCAAAGGAAAATCCTCGAGTACATGTCCTACTTTGCAAAGAATAGGCAAGAGGTGTATGAAAGTAATGCCTTAAAAACAAATAGTATAAATTTAAGTTTCTTGATGTATAAACAAATATACTTTTTTTAAGAGGACAAAGGGAAGTAGAAATTAAAAATAAGCTTGATAAATTTTGATACATATTCAATGTTTGAAAACTTAGGATGCTATGGCCTTGCTTGATCATGTTTGCTTTGCAATAAAATAGCCTTGCATTTGAGTTTGGAGCCCTTCAAAGTATGATTAGTATTGATAGTATGATGTTGTAATATGACTAATGGATAAAAGTGAGAAGAAAATATTATATTATAAAAGATTATATTTCAAAATATAATAAAAAATTATCTTAAAAATATAGATAATAGTCAAGGAGGTAGCAAAATTAATAAGTTTTAATATGAGTAAAATGGGTTTCTACTTATGTTGTATAAGATACAACAAGGTTGATTAACAAAATTTATATTATGAACATCTTAAGATAGATTCAATTAGTAGATTCTAGAAAAATTCATCTAAAAAGACTAGATGTTGATACTTAGAAAGGACCATATATAAACCTAGATCAAAATCAGATCTTGAGGTACAAAACTATGCCTTTGCAGCAAATCTAGGATTCTTTTGTTAATCAAAGTATATTATTAGAAAGTAAACTTGCCAAGATTTGGTTGTGTATTGTTCTTGAGTGATTTGGATTTATAATGTATTTCTAAGAGTTTTGCAAAGAAAATGGTGTTTTAAATAGTTTGGATTTTTGAGAGATAAAAAAAAGTTTATAAATTTAAGAATTTTGTTAGCATTCTAGCATATTAATAGCTAAAATATTTTAAGCTTGTACATTTACTTGTTTCAATTTTTTCTTTTATTTTTATAAATTTGAATTCAATCTAATGGTTAGATCAAAGGTTATTAAAATCTGCTTGGTTAAGGTCTCGGAATTTGGATTTTAAGGATTAGTAAGAGTTTCTTTGATCTTGAAAAATTTCTAGTTGGAATGAACCAAATTTTTGTAAGCAAGTTTTGGACTAAGTTTTCAATAATTTTTCCAATTTTAAATGCAAGTGAATGGTTAAATAAAGAGTTATTCTTGTTGGAAGATTTACATCAAGATTGAAAGAAGAGGATGGCCAACACCTAAGCAATTAAGGAGTTTTTCTTCCCAATCAATAAGTTGGATTCTTCTTGAAATTCTTATACTTGTTGCTAACTATTAGGTAGTAATGTATGCAAGATTAACAATTCAATAAATTTTATTGAGGTTTTAGGAGTGTCCTATTTAAAAACCAAATTTTTAATACTGTTTTTTATTTTATTTACATTATTTGCCATAAAAACTCTACAAGTAAATTTAAATTAAAAAATTTAAAGATGTATATTATGATTAAATAAAACAATAAAATTCTTCTACATCTATGTGATATTTTGTAAGGATTTAAGATATGAAAAGCTTTGGTAAAATCTTGCATGGTATTTTTAGAAAGTTATTGTGTTATAACTTCTTGGTTCTGTTAATAACTTTGAAATTACTTTCTACTTCTATACATCTTCATGATTTAGTAACATTGCAATTGATTTGATTATTCACGGACTTTGGGCAGCATTGAGAAACTCATGGACATCAAACTTTTTTTTAATAGGAGAAGAGAAAGAGGGAGAGAGACCTGAGGGAGGGAGGGAGGAGAGAGACCTGAGGGAGGGAGGGAGGGAGGATGGCGTTGACAAGAAGGTGGGTTCGGTGTTTTGGTGCCACTCTCCAACAACTCTCTCGTGCATTTGTCTTTGAATGCATGCGACGTGGCTTCGGGGGAACGTGAAGCGGCTGGACAGAATGCTCCAGTTGGAGTTGGAATCTCGATCGCTGTTTGTTTAATGGTTTGCTTAGTTGGGGTGCTCTATTCGAGGTTAAACCATCTCGTTCTGCGTTGCAGGACAGTCATCGCAACGGAATTGCCATTAATTTGTCAATTAGGGTTTCGGTGATGCTGGGGGAGTTGGAGTCTGGCTGTAGGATATCACATGGTGGGGAGTCTCTTTCTGTCGATTAGTTCGAGGTTTGTAGTTTTGTGACCTTGGGGTTTACAAAGTGGGGCTGGATACTTGGCACTCGGTTTAGGGTTAACCAGTGTACTAGTTATCTTTGAGCCATGCCATCCCGTCAGCGATTCTTCGTGGAGCTCAAGGATGAGGAAACTACAGTTGTTTCATGGAAGAAGTTGGTATCCGATGCGGAAGGTAAGTTGGGGTCTGCAAAGTTACCTGACGCTCCCGCAGGTGCTAATCCTGCATTAGAAGCTCGAATCGCACCGGAGGTACGATGTCAACCCAGTTTCATTGATGTGGTTATACGAACGGTCCTCAAATTGTTGCAAGTTGTTTGTGATCCGTTTGTTTAGCCCCAATTATCTTGTGTATTTGGACAAATGATTCTCTCAACACCTGGTAGGCTGTAATGATTGAGCTAGTTCAGTCTTTTCTTAGTAAATTGGTCGCATTGTATTTCCATACATGTATTTATTTTGTATTTAAGCTGTCTCTTAAATCTCAAAGTATTTGAATTTACGACACAGGCAATTGGAATCTGATTTTGTAATGCAGATAGGTGCTGGCTCGGTGGCTGGAAACGAGGATCCTCTGCCTCAAGTTCCCAACCGATTCAGCTCTGTCATTGAGAGGATCGAGCGTCTGTATAAGGTAATTTGCAATTTCGTGTGATGTTAACCACCGCACTCCTAGTTTGGGATGGAGGGATATATTCTTATTGTTGGCTGTCGGACCGAGCGGGTAGGAATTGACCGTCCTACTTGTGAACTTAATTGTGATCTTGTCACAGGGAGGAGATAGTGATGATGACGGCGCTGAGGATAGTCCTGATGAGGATCAATACGATACTGATGATCCTTTTATTGATGATGAGGAACTGGTATGCGGTCACTTATAGCTTATGTAAATGGGATGAAGAACATAATCAAATTTGGTTCTTCTTGATGTTCCCTGTTTGCAGTAGCGTTTTCTGGGACCTGAGATGTTCCCTTGTTGTTTTAAAATGCATTTGTAATCTTTCGATTCTATTTTAGTATTTTTGGTTATGCCGCTAGTTATTCAATGTATATCAGAGTGGATCTTATAGGGCTAAATATTTTCCGATGCTTTCTTGCTTGGAGCACAGAATGAGTATTTCATGGTGGAGGAAGCGAAGACTAAACACACAGGGTTCTTCATTAACAGAGGAGCACTTGAGAAGATGTGCGTTTTCTCATCATTATTGCGTGTGACCCAATGTCCTTATTACAATTTTGTTGTGAGTTTCAGAGGACGGGAGAGACTTTTATTGCACCGTGAGGTAGTAGTGAACAAAAACATCAAGTAGGGTTAAATGACCGTATATAAAGAAGCAGGACTCTCATTCCTCATGAATTGCAAAGACAGGACTTGTTACTTGACCAAAACGATAGTGAAGTACTAGATTCAGGGATTCACTGGACTGACTTAGTCAAAAAGCACCATGTAGATGTTTTGTGAACTATATGAACTCTTATTTTGGTCAGCTAATGGAACATACTTTTGGCTGAGCAGAAACGTACCAACTCCAAGTCCAGCTGTGCTACCCAAGAAGAGACGACGTAGAGAACCGAAGAAAGATAAGAAAGATGAGAAAGAGGTAAAAAGACGTATGAAAGGGCGGATCAAGGTCGCTGCTAGACAATATCCTTTGCATTCAGAGAACTTTGCTGTAGGTGATCCGCAGATATCTAGAGAGCACAATTTGAGCAGGATCCAGTCAAGTGATCCAGAGGAGATTTCCAGTGACAGTGATGCTTTCCTCCGAGGTCCCTCAAGGGTGTCCTACAAGCAAGAAAAACAAGATTTTGCAGGTAACCTGGACATTACGAGTGTTTTTATATTTTAGAATCGGGACTTTCAGAGCTCATTAATACTGATACTAATTACTGTGAGTACTTGCGGTGGTAATCTTTTGTAGAAGTTGATAACAATGGAGGAACCGTTGAGAGGCCTTTAGAAGCAACTGTGACGCTCAATACAGAAACCGTATTTGGTGGAGGTAGAAATGCTCAAAGTAAAGTAGAGTACAAGTATGATGAAAAGAAGTGGAAAGAAGCAGCTAGAGAACCGAAAGGAGTGATGAAGGTGTCTGAAAGTTTGAAAATGAAGATGATGCAACAGTCAGTGAAGGAGGATGGACCACGAGATTCTGATGGTGGTGGAGGACAAGCAGTTGCTGGTTTTACCGTAAGACTTTCATGACATCTTACATAATCCTATCATAGTTTGCTTGACGTTTACTGTCATCGTAAAGTTTCTTCAGTTAGTCATGGAAAAATCCCTGTTACAAATTGGACATCAACATGAATTACATGCTTCGTTATTCTGCAGATGCTTTGAGAACTTACAGATTTACTTCTGGGATTTATGAATCGTACTTTTGATGGTTATTTAACTTACACATTTTGTTTTTAGGATTGATGTGCTGGAAATTTCTGTCACGATTGAATCCGTTTCCTTCGCAGTTCTGCCTGTTGTGACCACAATATTTTTGTGCTACTGTATTCACAAAAACCAGTTAAATTCACCTGGATCTCTGTGTGCTACAGAAGTCATTATCACCAGGGCCAATAGAGCCCAGCCCAGGAAGGCGTGGGTGGCCCAAGGGTACAGTTATGGAGAGAGCTATCCAAGATCTAATTAAGATGGTAGCATTACGTAAGTTTGTCTTGACTCATGCATTGCATTTGGGTCGTTTTCTTGTTCTGCTTAAGTGTTACCTGGTGGCTATCAAATTACTAAGTCAGGCATGACTTCGAGGGATTTTGCTGAGAATATTTTGCGCTTGGTCTTCATATTGTTTTAGAAGTACTGGAGTCTGTGCGAACATTATTGTTTGTAGCATATATTCCACCCTTTTTCTTTTATCTTTTTCTTGTTTCTTTTTGTATCTACTTGTAGTTATAATATAAATAGCATTCAAAAATAAAAATTGACGTCAGGATTCTTAGATGTGTAGTGGGCTTTGTCACCAGTTTGTCCTCAGTCGGCTGAGGGAGAAGTTCAAGAGGCACCATCGCAACCTGGAGCAAAGGCGAAGAGACTACCAAGGGAAGTGAAAACAAGACTGGCTAAGGTCGCAAGACTAGCGGTGCGGTTCACTGAGACATTTCAAGACTTGTCAATCTACTCCGTGACATTGTCGTCATTGATCATGTTATTGTGCAGTATCATATGTTTGGAAGCGAGATTTTTTTTGGCCATGGTTGTGGATGGAATAGTTATGGTCGTCATTTGCTGTTTATGGCAATTTTATTGTTATAGTAGGAGATTGACATTTTTTGTTTTAGCAAAGAGCAGCAGGCAAAGCAAGGAAAGGTACCTGACGAACTTGTTGTGCGTCTCCATGGCATCTTAGGCCACATCATGCGCCCAAATACCTTGAAGGTGCGCGCGGTCAATGGCTTCTTCATTATATTAATCATTGTGAAGCATATACCCTTGATAGCTAATTGTATCCCGCTACAGCCTGATGCGAAGGTTTCTCTATGAATCCAATTTACGGTATTGCTCAATTTTGCAGTGATCCTCTACACTAACTATCGATATTTGCTTTACAGAGGAACTTGAAGGAGATGGTGGAGCATGGATTATCAGCTAAGCAAGAAAAAGAAGGTCGGTTATTAGATATCAAACGTGAAGTTACAGAAATGGTGAGAAACCAAGTGACGAAGTTCAAGGTATGCATTCTCCATTCTACAATGTTTCTTCTTAAGGCTGCTTTTGTGCTGCTTGGAGACTTTGTGGGTTGGAGTTTGGGCGTTTTAGAAAACTTGCTAACAGCGTAAAGTATGAGCAACTCTGCTAGCAAGACCTAAATTAAACTCATAACTGGTTTCAGGGTGCTGAGGCGCGAGAGGGCTCCTCAGATGACTTTCAGGCAGGACCTCTATCAGTGGAGAAAGCAGGCACATCCACTGAGAAATACAAGTGGGATCATGCTATGGAAGATCTTCTTTGTAATCTTTACGATCAGTATCTGGAGGTATTTGCCTTGACTGACTAATTCTAGCTATCTTGCAATGCACTTTTCCTTTTTAATTTTTACTTGAATTCAGGTGATTGGTTGCACCAACTAGATGTATACAATTGGTGTATGCCTTGTGCTGTGTCGTCTCTTAAAAGTGATGCGTTGTTTCGTGATCGTCGAAACGGTCGCGAAACAGAACTAATGCGGTTAAGGGATTTACGTGTTTATCACAACGTAAATTTCTGTGTGAGAACTTGGTTTGTGTAGTTCCGGAGCAATGCTACACTTTTCTTGTGAATGATCAGTTTACAATCCACCATATTGGGAATCTGTGGTTTGTTTAGAGCATGATTATTTATGATTGATTTGCTGCCACAGGGAATGGATGAGCATAAAGGTCCTCAAATTCGGAAGCTTTATTTTGAGGTAGGCATTTGTATGCACCAATTTGTGGTTGCCTCTTAAAATAGGTTTTTCTGGGTTCCAAAACACAAAAGAGAAATTTTGTTGATTTGTGATAATTCGTAAACTCTGTACATGCAAGTCTACCTATGAAACAGCGGACGATTATTGACTGCAACGCCTGTATTCATTTTTGCAGTTGGCAGAGCTGTGGCCAGAGGGGTGGATGGACAACAATGGCATCAAGGCTGCGGTTTTGCGTGCGAAGGAACGGCAGAAGCGCCTCAACAAGTTGAACAAAGTAACAAATCACTAGCTCTCCCCATGGTCCAAGATGTTGTCATCTTGTCCTTAGTTTATAGTTTGGATATTTACGCAGGGGCTTAAGACCCCATTGTGCTATCCTAGATTGACATTCTATACAGAAGTTACGCCTTCCTTCTTCAGTTTCTATCATAGTAAACTGCCGCGAGCAACATTTTGTTCATCTGTGCTATCTGAGGTATATCCTGACTGTTATTTCCACTAGTCTGAGGCCGTGACCCTGTATCATGCAAAATTATATGGTTAACAGTTTTTAGAGTTCAGTTGCTCTGATACTTCAGATTATGCTGAAGTGGAAAAAATGACCTAGTTTCTGAGTGTATCAGGGACCAAGGAAAAGAAAAACGGGATCTTCGAGCGATGTGTTGAGAACCGAGGATGATTTCAGAGACGGCTCTGGAGGAAGTTTGATAAACCACACAAATCAAAGTTTCGGAGTTCCCTTACCGAAACGTAGTGATGATAGTACCCCTGAAGAGGACAGCATTTACCTCTCAGGTTCACGAGCATGGCTTTCTGATGAGAAGATTGGAAAGTACAAACAACACTTTGAAGGTTCTGTAAGGAGTTCCTTGAAAATGAGCCAGTTTGATTACAAAGAGAAAGCACGAGAAGGCTCAAAGTTCATGGGTCATGGGATTGAAAAGAATATTTTGATGAAGAAAAGGCGAAAAAGGATGAAAGCTGGGACAGAAATCGACTTAACTGCATCTCGTATGGTCTTTCAGAAGAGTCTCAGCATCAGGGATTATGCGGACACTGTTTCTCATATTCCAAACAACAATTCTGGTGTATACGATGGGCTAATAGATGAAGAACTGTTTCGATCCATTAATCGATCCACTAAGAGTGCCCCCTTGGAACCCGAGAAACCTTGAGTTCATCTTATAGCTGTCTTGCGATTTCAAGCTGTAAATCATTTTTGTATATCTCTAGCGTGCAATTCGGTGCACCCATCTTTTTGCTCCGTTTATTCTCAGAGGTAGCTCCATAGTTTTGGGTGACACCTACTTGCTACTTCAGATCCAAGCCCTACCTGGGTGTTCCCTTAAGATCCTTTAACACCCATATCTCTGTAGCTGCTCAGTGCTTCCAGGGGGTCGTGCACACTTACTGCCTCGGCGCTGAAAATCTGCGATGATCGGGAAAGGTGTAACCGTGCAGATGCGAGGTGCTTCTAAGTTAGCCACACCGATCATGTTTCAAAGTAGACTACAGTTTAGTGCGAATGTAGTTGACGGCTGTGAGGGGTAGATTTAGAACCGTAGCGCTCAAGAGTTGTTGATTTTTTTAACTGTTTCTCTGTATGTGTTGTTGCTCTGGGTTTCCAATGATGCCAGCCAGGTATTTTAACGATTATTTTTATTTTACTGCATGAGGCTCTTGATCCTGCCACAGGATCAGGTGTGGCACAGTAATACAATTTACGAATACATTATAAATGGTATCCTTAATGTGGAATTTATTTGTACTGCTATATAGGATGCTAATAAGTTTAAATCACAGCGTAGTATGGATTAATAACTAGCTTTGTATCAGCTTTGTATCAAGTGTAGTTAAAATATATGAAATTAAACATTAACTCATGTAATATCAGATTCTGAAATTTGAGTCGGGAACCACATGTATTAAAGAATGCATACTCAATCGAGCACTTGCCGAACATTTGCCAGGTACCTAGCTACAAAATCTAGTCTTTTTATTGTTTGCTACAAAGCCATATTTATAAAAAATTCGTCAAATCCCAAATGGTAAAAGAAATTGTGAACACACAAAGTAATTTAGAAGTGATTTGAATATAGAATTATTGGGATGAATTTCAATAATGTAAAACTATTGCATTTTAAACTTCTATTAATATTTGCAACACCACATATATAAAGAAATTTATCTAAAATTTGTGTAAATCAAGTAGAATTTTGCATGATAGAAATAAATTTGTCCTCGACATGCAAGTCATATTGTCGAAATTGTAAGTTCTTTTCATCTGTAGACACCAAAGGTTCTATTAAGGAATAATTGAAAGAAAATTTAATAATTAAACATAAAAACTAAAATTGAGTGTAGATATATATATATATATATATATATATATATATACATACACACATATCTTTTTTATTTTTTATTTTTTAATTTTAAACAAATGAAATTGATTTCAAAATCTTTAAAATTATATTTAAAGTACAACAAATTATATGTATATATATAATTACTTGATGATTAATATATTATGATTTGAAATTACTAACATCCATTTCTCACCACTAATGCTTCCTTTAGATTTCAGCTAAAATCTCTTCTTAAATCAAAACCTTTATTCATAAGAAGATTAAACTCTACTTAAACAATCTTAGACATTGAAGCTATTGAAGATACATATAGTAATTTGAAAAGTAAACAAAGTTATCTTTGAACTTAAAACTTTCTAAATTTAAAAGTATATTTTGACCATTAAATTTCTTTGATGCATTAAAAAATGTAATCATTTATTTCCAATTAATGTTTCTATAATAAAAACATCTGATCCTTAAAAATGTAAAAACTCAAACTTTTAATGCTAAATATTCTTAATTTAAAAAGTTGCATAATAAGTTATTTAAATCTGAAATTATTATATATATATATATATATATATATATATAATTTTATTATTTTAATATTTTAATATTTTCAATAAAAAATTAATAATGATAAAACCTACTATTATTTTTAATAAATTTATGTGATATTTGTGTGATATTTGAATTATAATAAAATTAATTAAAATAAACTTGATTGTTATTACTAAATAAGATAGAAACTAAAGGGATCTTTGTACTTAGGAGACAAGGTGAGAGGCCACAATTGTCAAACCTTTTAGATTGGTGGAAATTAAGAAACTTTTCTAAATAGACTTTACACTTTAAAAAATAAGTAAAAAAAGTCTTTGGAAACAAAAAAAAAAAAAAAAAAAAAAAAAAAAGGTGGAATATATCTTTTTCCTATATGACATAAATAATGTTGTCTTCTAGAATTTCTATAAGACCCATCTAAAGAAATAGTTTTTAGAAAAATCTAGAAGTTATATTTAAAATTACTTAAAAGTTATCATTACAAAATAAAGAATCAACTTTTTTATGCTTTACATAATTATTTGAAAGAAAAGTATGTGTTAACCTATTTAAATTTGTAACAAAAGAATGATTTGGTTCATTTCATGGCCTCTTCACTTTATACTATTTATTGGCCAAGGCTTCTAAACAAGAACTTTTTTTCATCAAAAGAAAAAGCTTGGTAAAGATTTTGAGCCATGGCTTTTCAAAGTGGACTTCTAAATCTAAAATCCCTTGAAATAAATAATAACTGTCATTAAAATGTTTGGATAACATAATATTCGTAGTTATATTATATTAATACAAAAATAATATTTATAAATATTACAAAATGGTTTTTTCTTATTTAATTTTTAAATGATTATATGTTATCCATTAACATATTGATCAGACTTTGAATTTCAGAGCAAACAAGGTTCGACAGTGTACCTTCCAATAAAATTGTCAATTTCTGAAACTGTTTTTGTGTCAAACCCTTGCAAGCAGGGTGTGTTAAAAAACCCAGAGGTCCACCTCCATTGTGGCCAGCTCAAAGATATATTACACCCTCAGATTTGCATTAATCTTTGATTGTAGAGAGCTCCTGGACATAGCAAAGTCTTCTCTCGGTCTTCGCATTGTGCCATCGTAAAGTCAACCAAAGACAACGTTGTGCAAATTCCATGCTGTGTTTGTATTTCTCCAAAGGAACCTGTGGAGATGCTACAGTGTGTGCTGAAGGCATACTTCAATTGCACAACAAAGGCCTGTACACCACCACTTTGTTAGCTCACTAACCATGCAATCACAAAGGAACAGCATAGAATGACTTGCGAGCAATATTCAGGTGACAAGTACGATTATTTGTACTGATGTCCACGTCACACTTCGAGGGGAACTGTGACGTTTAATTTATGGCATGTGTCTACGTTGTTAATTTTGGGCGTGGAGAGAACCTAAAGAAATGGAAGACGTTCGAGCCATTGAAAAGAAAGCCCCTTCAGAAATGTGTGTGGGCAGACCTGAATTCGTCCACATGTTGGAATGCTTGCGGCTACACCTCGTGAAATAGCAACGGTCGATCATGGCATTGGAATCAAAACTATCCAGGACCTGAAAAAACATTCAAGTCTAAGCAATAAAGCTACTACAACTGCCAGATTTTAACAAGTATCTCCGGACTAAGTTCATTACAAAGAATTCTCACACGAAATGGCCAGAGTTCGAGTTTCACCATCTTTCATTCAAGTAGAATAGTCTTTACTCCCTTTCTTATACTTCATCTATATCACTACTCAGTTGTCATAAAATGCCGAAACGAACTCACAAATGCGCTAAAATCAAGCTGTTAGAGATGGGTCACAGACAGGGTAACATTGAAGCCAACAGAAGAAGGCCCCGAGAAACAGACCTTCGTACTCCAGCATTGCAATCGCGCTGCAAACTAGTGCCACGAAAATTACTAAGACATTTACACGATGATCTGTTCCGCAACATGAGCTCCCGCTCCTGCATGTCCCCGCTACCCACAGAAGCAAAGCCGTCCATGCCGAACATCTCAAGTTCAGCAAACTTATACAAGTGCAGCTGTCATCACGGTGCTTTAACATGTTAATGTGCATCGGAAATTGTTAATGACTTGTTTTGCTTACCCACTCATGCACTTGGTAGGTCATCTGTTCGTTCAAGAGTTTGATGCAACACTACCCATCAACACCTACACAGATTGATATCCATATATAGCATTACAAGTCCATTCGTCAATACTTCGCTACAAACACCGCTCAACCTACACTGAAGTCTAGTCTGTACTGTCGATCAATCAATACACGGCAACTAAATTAATTTCAGTCCACACCATAAAATCTCCTTCCAGGGCATATTGACTCTTGAATGTGGCACAAGAATACAATGTCAAACTTGGGGTAAGAACTTACACACTGATCTGGTAACAGCACTATCACGTCAGTTGATTGAGCGCACAAAAGAGAGCCCAGAACGCAAGGACTACAGAGGAAAACTGAGAAGTTTGATGGAATTAGAGTACAAATTAATGACACTGTCCGCTGGTGGAAAAATGAGGAGGGCATGTAGCACCAAAAAATGTATTCGAAAAAAAATCAGTCTACCATAACTATCCCCCAAACCCTGTGCTTTTGCTACTACCAGCCTCCTAACGGCCACCCTTAACTGTATACAAGAGTTCCGAACTTATAAAATACTTATATCCATGAAATGGGGACAGAATTGCTGCTAGAGCCTACAAGTCCAGCAGACAGGCCTGCAAAAGCTGCACTGGTGTAGACTGACGCTTCATTCTGCATAATATTCGTTCGAGCATCAGTGTAAGTCTCGTTCTTGAAAGGGCCGCCCACGACAGCACCATAAGCAATGTTGGGATTTGGCTCCTTTGAGTCGTACCAGCCCCAGCTGTGAGCGCAGTCGGTTTTGATTTGGTCAACTGGAATGGATGCTCCTCTATGGTGCAAATACTTCGGATGCTTCTCGCCGTAGCCCACCATGAAGCTCGTTGACAAAGGATTGTTTCCCAACACGTAATTCGCCTGCACATGATGTCAAGTTAATATACTAACATCTAATACAAATATTATACCGGATCCAATGATTGAAAGGTGTTAGATACACACACCAGAACACGGACTTTAAGAGTTAGTTAGAAAACAAAGAAAACAAAACAAAAAGATAAACGCTTTTTAACAGCCTTAAATACCCATAACATGTAAGGAGACAATTAACCACCAAATGAGTAAATAAATATTGATTCTTTAGTATGATTATAATATTGATAATAACAATGAATAAAAGGTGCGGAACATACCTGAGATGATGCAAAAGCTCGCAGCTGCGCATGAGTGAAGCTTTTTCCTGAACAAGTAATCCCAGATGACTTGGCGGCGACGAGGTAATCGCTGTAAAATGATGCCAGGAGAGCAGAATTGATGCCATGTTGCAACGCAGACCATTCGTTTAACCATATGTACCCACCTGCACCACCACTTATTTGAGGTAAGCTCCCATTTGATTCTAAGTTAAGAGTGACTCTGACATATCCCAGGGAAATGAATGAGAAGAACATTAGCAAGAGCAGACATTACTGACTTGTTCGTCTGTGATGAACAAAGCTACAAAAAACAAGCCTAACAAAGAGATGTCTTTTTCCGCAGAATCCAATCATTGAGATAGCCCTGAGTTTTTATGTTTAACATTAAATTATTAACATAATAAAAAAATTATGCTGATTTTAGCCTGCAGACAGCACTCTCACTAGTACCAACCATGTTCTCAAAATCAAACAATAAACGATCGTCTCTTGACAGATGAGTCATGCACAAACACAGAATATTTTTGTACCATTTCTAGAAATTGATTACCTACCTTTAGTGCGATCAGTACTGGCTGTTGGCGACCCTGGCAAAAAGGCACACATAAGTCCATCGGCGGTAGTCTTATAATCCGTCAACCCTTTACTCACGGTGTTCACAGCATTTGTAGGCGGTTTCAGCATCTGAAGCCTTGCAAGCAGCACCTGTATCCCAACAAAGAGCTTTTTAAAATCTCACATTTGTTAAAAGAACTGCAACACAGACGTGCAAAAATGCTTAAGTCGCAAGCTCCACACATTACGATACTTGATCACGACCCACCTGTACTGCTGGACGTTTGCTATCCCAGCTGAACCAAGAGGGGAAGACACCCCAATCAGCAAATTTCTCTCCATTTGCTCCTGTAACGTAAGCCAGATAAGTATTATCCCCTGTGGCATAATAAAGCCAGGTGGCGCCCCAAAGAAGCTCGTCTCCGTAGCCCGTAGAGTTATAGTAATCCTGAAATTCTGGAATGGTTTCACTGTATGAGGCTTGGTAAGTGTCACTGAAGTTAAACAATTGCTGAGCATGTGCGACGAGTGTGTCTGCATATGTAGCATCAGTAGATCGGAACACCATGGATGCGGCTGCCATAGCTGCTGCAGTCTCTGCAGCAACTTCTGAACCCGGTAGCGTTGTGTTGAGCACGAGAGAGGGCCTCGCAATGCTGCCACCATCTTCAGGCCTATACCAGCACTTGTGATCGGTGCTTGCATTTCCGACTTGAAAGTAGAGCACATTCGGTGCAGCGTGCGCCTTGATAAGGTAGTCTGTGATCCACTTAATCGAGTTCTTGGCGGATGCCAGCTGCCCAGCCTTCTCCATTGCAGGACCGTATTCTAGCACGCTCCACGAGAGGATAGTGGCAGTAAAGGCCATCGGAAAGCCGAATTTTACACTGTCACCTGCGTCGTAAATGCCGCCACTCAAACTCACATTGACGTCGCTCCCATCCAGAAGGTTCGAGTCTCCCCTCCACTTTATAGGAAAGTCCGCTGGTAGCTTTCCCGCTGCAAGTCAGCAGAGAGAAGATTGAGCACAAAGTTTCTATTTCGTCGAGACGACCTGTTCTTCGAGCGCCAAAATAAGATTAGCCATTTTTTCCAAACGAAGTCTGGAAGTATGTGTACATTGCATTCTACGAACAAAAGCAGAATGTGGACAACAAGGGAGAGAGATACTTGCATTTCTGGATATCAAGAAAAGTAAGAGCGAGTCGCATAGACTCCGTGTAGTTGCCACTAAAGTCAGAGGAAGGGCCTGAAGTATCCGACGAGCTCTTTTTGTGCTTGATCACCACCACAGCAATGGCAATGGCGGCGGCCACCACTGCCATCACAATGATACATGCTACCCAGTTACAGCCCCTCGACTTCTTGTATCCCACTCCCATCTTGCCTAACGTGAGAAGATCACGGACGTTTCAAAGAACCAATTGGCTACTAACAATCAGAGTACCAACTCTAGCCTCTTAAGCTCCAGAAAGGTGTGGTGCACTCGATCTGTCTATGGCCACCACCACTGAAAACTCGTGACACATCAAAGGATTGATGAACTTTTGTTTTCAAATAGAAATCTGCCTATATTGTCTCTGAGGGAAAAATTGCCGATGAACCTCGAGGCACTGTGAACGAAAACTGCCGCTGCACGTGTGAGCTCTGCAGTCGCAGCATGAGCGCGAAATTAGGTGTCCCCGCACTCCACAATGTCTCCAAGCTCATATAGCACAGATGCTGTAAACTCGCTACCACTCTCGCTCTTAAATATCTCAATACTCACCCCACGCATATCCTAAATCTCAAACCCAAAACCTCGAAAAAGGTTCAACCTCGGCCCAACGTTCACAAGTGCTATGGCGCAATAATGGAGCTAGGGACCGCTCCAAAGTACCCCAGTGCCTCCTACACATGAGATCCAACACACACGCTTGCAAAAAACTATGCAAAACATTCGACACCAAAACTCTGATGCGGGTCACAAGGTACTCTCCAGCTAAATGAGCTATCAACATTATCGTTATCATCAACACCTTAACCTTGATCATCGCCCTCCTACATCACTGCCAATGCCAGGTGTGCCCTGCAGAGAGGCACATGACTCTGGGATTCCGCCCACATTAACTAACTAACATCTTTACCTTTTCCCTTCCCGGTTATCGACACCCAAGTAAGTAGGAGAATTATTCATGCCGGGACCGGAATTATCGCGTTCCGCCTCCTCTGAGAGTCCCGCCCGAGTAATCACCCAATCGATAATGGGCGTGTATATTTGCTCCGACCCACATGTGTTTGCCCTTACCAAACTTGAGTAATCTTTCTGAACACAATCTGAAACAGATCTAAATAAAGCGGAGACTGGCAGTGGTCATGCTGATGCTTGGGGTGCCTTGCTTCATCGTGTCGAGAGCTTCCTCGGTTATCGTCCGGCATGCAGCTTGCATCTACTCGCATTCTGTGGTATCACGGTTTTCAAAATGCAACAATGACCTTGAAAACAGCTTTCTCACTCTTTCTTACTCATTTTCACACTGTTGTGTGTGAGAGAGTGTGAGTACGAGTGCGAGTGCGTGTCTCGCCTGCCGTGGCTGCTCCCTCCCTTCCTCATGGGCTCTATGGATCCTCCTCCGCCCCCTCCCACTGGAAAGGTGCCCTGGTGCTCCTTTCATTCCTTAGTATGTCTGACCTGTTCTTTATTATTTCATTTAATGTGAAAATAATAGTATGTGGCTATGTGTGGGGTCAATCCTTCTCAATCACCGAATCAAGCTTCACCAAACCTCACCGAGTTCAATTATAGGGGTGGGTTGTCACCTTTACCTTGGGGCACCGGGAATGAACAAGACCAATCATTGCAGAAACAATCAAACAAAAATCTAAATGATATTTTTAATATAGGAATTGAACACGAAGAATTGAACACGTAGAACCGAACACGTGCACTCTCTCCAACAAGTACTATATTCTTTTCAGATTTCTAACACAATAAAAGACGACGAGATTTTTATTTGCAATGCAATTTGAAATTCAATCCTAATTGCTTATTTGGTTAGCTGTGAATCATCAATATTATGTAGAAGAAAGTCAAACAATGTCATATGATTACTGTTACCAGTTCATTCAGTAATGGTTCTGATGTGAAGTTTACTGTTTTGATTTAAAATAGGTTTTTTGAAATCATTGTTGAAATTATGACAATTTTAAATAGTTAAGCAGTTTATTTACTAATATCTATGTGCTACTCATAATAGATCAACGAACATCACAAAAAAATATTATATGTATATTTATCTCTCTCTGTATACATACTCATACAGTTATATACAGAAATAGATATTTAGAATGAAAACTCAAATTACATATATGTAATTCATCAAAAATCACTTTTTGATACCAGTATTTTATTTAAAAACAAAACAAAAAACACAAAAACAAAACAAAAAAAAATAATTTGGTTTCAAAACTCAAGTTTTTCAATTAAATGATCATATAGTTTTGGCATGTTTTCATTAAATCCATTTTATTTATTTATTTTTGCTAATGTAAAAAATACATTCAAATGTATATTCTTCACTTTACTTGTCAAATGATAGATTGAAAAAATATGTTATTTTCATTTTTTGTATAAAGGTAATGTTTTCTTTTATAACTTGTTTTGTCCTTTTCTGAGAAGTTGTCACATGCCTTAATACGTGTCTTGACCCAGCCCTAATTCTTGAATCTTATATTAATTTGATAAAAAGGCATTAAAGGCTAGAAGACAACATAACAAAAGACTTAAAATTCTTTACAAACTTTTAAGTATATCACAAAATAGCAAAACCTACCATATTATTTGAATACAACATCCATCCATCAACATTCTAACACTAATTTTAAAAAAATAATAACCTAATGAACGGGGTCAGAAACAAACCTTCTCTTGTTTGGTAGGATCGACTTATTATAATTTTGTCTGTAAGCAAACAGAATATAAGAAGTATCAGAGAAGAGAAAATGGTATCAAGCATAGATTTTTTATTCAAAAATATGTTACAGTCCATCATTTAAACATGTTATTATTATTAGAAATACAATGTATTTAGAGGAGAAAAGGAAGTCAATTCTCCAAAGACTTCTTTGGATTTTTGATTTTGAAAATTTTGAGTTGAGGAAGGGGGCGATCATGCATGGTCCGTGTGGACTATGCAATGGCCACTTTTGTCATCCTTAATTTCAGGGGGAAAAATCGGAGTGTCAAACACGACGTGAATTGAGGATGAATCCGCCTGTGGTAGATTGGACCAAGCCCATTGTGTGTGAAAAATTTGCCATGGACACATATTTCCTCCTCTGACACCAAAGGAATGAAAGTCACCCACTCCCCCAGTTGGACCCGCATTGGTGTAGGGCGGGTGCCAACTCCACCAGGTCTTCCATCCTTCCTCACTCTCATCCATCCATTCAATCCGTCCATGCAGATCTCTCTCTCTCCCTCCCTCCCTCCCTCCCTCCCTGTTCAGAAAGAAGTGTTGGCCCTGGAGAAGGAAAGGAAGTCAGGCAGGCAGGCAGGTAGGCAGGCAGACAGATGGCGGTCAGCTAGCCAGGCAATGGGTCAGCTAAGTTTAGGGCCAAGGGTGAGACTTGGGTGGCGGAGTAGGTCACAAAGAGTGTACCCAAAGCAAGCACCCATTCATACTCACACTCACTCACACACATTACACAGTGCAGGTTTGGAGCCCCCACCTCCCAAGCTGACCCCTCTCCAGCTGCAGCCGCACCCCCTCATCCTCTTTCCCTTTCTCTTTCTCTTTCTGGGCTCTGCAATGGATGACTGGTGATTCCAAAGCCTGCCTTGTGCAGATGTGTGAAAATGGTGGTGACAAGTGTTGTGAGGTTCATGATCCTTTTTCCACCATGTAATCAGCACTGGTCTGAAAAATGGCTTTTGAGAGTGTGCGTGTGTGTGTGTGTGTGTGTACACACAACTACACAGGATTAAACATGCAGGTTTAGAGTTGTGAATGGAAAATTGTGATTTGTAGTGGTGTTGTTACACTCATGATAGTTGCATTTTTATTTTGAAATTATATAAATTACTGTGATTGGTCTAGCTTTTGGGGGTTCTGATAAGCGTTGTACAAAATGGGATGATCAAGTTTATTTTAATTCTCTTGGCACAGAATCCAGAAAATTGTGAAACATTATTAAACCAAAAATAGCACCTCTCACTATCAATTTTTCCTATCTATCATGAGCTTTTAAAAATAACAATTATTTCATTTGTTTGTTTACTTTTGAAAACCTGTTCAATACACCCTGTGGTAAAATTCTTTGGAATTTTAGCATTGTAGCAAGAAAAGGTATACAAACCATGTCTCTTATCAAAATTGGGCAACATGTTAGAAACCAAAATTTACTAACGTTGGGATTCGTTCACTGTTCAATCTGCAGTCCATAACCTTTACATTGCACTGCCACTTTTTTGTGATTCTACGAATAAAGGACATTCAATAAAGTCTAGTATCTCAATAAATTCACAAAAGAAGACGGTAGTTATTTCATTCTAATTAACTGAATCTACACCAAAGGACCCAATCAGCAAAAGCTTATTAATTCCTTATATTTCTTTGCCTCATTACCACATGCAAAAGTCATAAAAACTGATTATGACCAATCAAAACCAAAGCAAGCTTTAGAAAAACTATTCTAGATCCAAAGCAAAGCAACAAGTCATGTGCTTTGGTTGTTCACTTTAGAAAAAAAGAAAGTATTACATCCATGCTTTCTCACATGACATGGATGGGCTACTTGAATGAATGGGACTTTTCTCTAATTTGCTTCAAAGTTGCAAAGCCTAAACCCAAACTAAGAGAAGAAAACAATAGCCACAATTCCATCTCCAACAGCATAAACAAAATGTTTTCCACAAATCACTACCTGTATGCTGGCAAAAACTTCCTTACCCATCCGTTAATCGATACACATATTCGTTCATCCATATATGTATATATATTCCTTCCTTCATGACTTGCGTCCTACCTTGTGGAGAAGTGTGGAGGGTGGGTGAGTAGGACCGTCTTGGGAACGAGGTTAGTTGTACCCATGAGATCCTTTTCGGTGAGATCTTGTAAGGGTGGGATTAGGGCAGGGAATGGAGGGCTGGACAGAGGTCAGACCAGGGATTCATGGGACCAGATTAAGAATGGATATATTGATTTATTTAAATATATCAATCATACAAATATCAGAGATATTTTATCATTTAAATAAATGATATATCTATATATATATATATATATATATATATTTGTGAAATTAATTATGAATTATGGTTTCAAGAACTATGTTGCTTTGTGGAGCCACACAAAATAATCTTCTTAAAAGTATGCATGTATTTCTGCTTTTGAAGATGTATACTGCAAATAAAAATAAGGAGTTTCAAGTTATTAAGTCTCTCCTGATCATCAACAGAGTTATTTTGTTCAAAATTCGCAAATCAATATCTTTAGAACATCACATCCAAATTTTCCAGAAAAGTGTATTAAATTAATAAACTTCAACACCACATAAATGACATATATTTAATATATATATATATATATATATATATATTTCGAGATAATTAGTAGATGGTTTTGTAGCCTTTATCATTTGATCTCTTTCCTATTAATCTAAGATCTTCTGAGTTTTATTTGTAATCAGAAATTTTTTATTTTATTTTATTTTATTTTAATTTTTTACATTGACGTGTTTTAAAATAAGTCAAATAAAAATATTATTCGCAAGTAATGAATTTATTTTTTTATATTCTTAAAGCATAGTTTTTAATAAAAATATATACATACACATAAATAAATACCATGGTATTTGAAATATAGTTTATTCTTTTATCTATATATATATATATATATATATATATATATCTAAACATAGACATAAATTATATAAGATAACTTGGGTGTAAGACAAAGAGACAAAAAAGTCTTATGATTGGTTGGGAAGAAGAAAACTTGGAGAATGTGGAAAATATAGAAATTAGGAAATTAGAAAACTTGGAGAATATGGAAACTAGAAAACTTGGAGAATATGAAAATTAGAAACTTGGAAAATATAGGAACTTAGAGAATATAGAGACTAAGAAATATTGAGAATA